GGAAACCCCTTTTATCCCGCACAATCTGCTGCGTGGATGTCCTGATCTCTCTAGGGGGGTCACGTGGGTTACCTACATAGTGCTGAACCAATCCTGTCAGAGATGTAATATTGACAACTTTTGAACTGGTGTTATGCAATGTGATCCCCTTCACTTTCATGCTCGTTTTGCCCTTTGCCGTTCTGTACCCATAAGTTTTGGGTCCCCCTGAGACAAATTCCACAATGTGGTCATCTGGGTCCAGCGTGCTTGTTAGTTCACCGAGAAAATCGCCCAGAGGGGGCGCCCAGTCACCCGGCTTGCTGACAAAAATGTTACAGGGAAACGCTCGAACTCAGAGATAACTCTTGCATCAGGGTGCAAGATCTGATGGCTAAAATAGCCTCCCTAATTTAGAAACGACCTGCAACAGTCTGTATCATGATACAGCATGCGCCGCCCCAAGCGGTCCATGAGATTGTACAGCTCAAGCCTAGCATACGCGGTAGTGAATGCGGCAATAAAAACATTGACGTGCCGCGGCATGCTAGGGTAACCCTTTATGTGCCACCATTGGACCATCGCCACAAGGAAAAGTGAGACACATTGACCAGCTTTGAAAAAATGAACGTGAGAAACTCATCGGGGTCTTTGATGAGCGTCGTGCTCGCCTGATTTATTCTCTGCCCAAACTTTCCCCAAAGACTGTTTAGAAACAATTTGGAAATTTGGCGTTTCACTTTGTTAACCCCGATGTTCTCGGGGTTCAAACGGATGCCCTCCTTCTCAAAGTAAGTCTGAATGTATCTCTCTTTATCCTCAGCAGTCGTTGCCCAAGAGGGATAGCCGGAAGCCTCCTGTTTTCCCTTTAAATGGGTGTTAATATAGTCAGCAAAAAGTGTGTCGGTCTGGTCGGGGAAATGCCAGACCTCGTAAATCTTTACGACTTTGTAGCCCTTTTCAACAGCCTTGTTGATTTCGACACTGCACCACGTGCCGATCAGAGCTCTCTGCTCATCTGAATGATTACAGACCCCCTGCCTCTCGGCTTCACAGCATGTTCTGCAAAGTGTGAACATGAGTTTACCACCGCACCTGTAAGGCAGAATCGGTAGGTAAAGGCCTCTTGGTGACTTTGACTTTGATCAGCCCAAAATAGTTTTCAATGCTGTCAAAATCACTGTAAATGATTACAGGGTGGCCTACAGGGTACTCCTTAAACTTGTTGACTGAGGGGTAAAGGCTAGTAAAGTCGTAATAATCTATGCGCTCATCACTCTGTGCTTTATAGTGCAGTTGCAGAGCGTTAGTTCTGCCACCAAACAGAGCATCCCGAGGATCGATGCGCTCTGGAAAGTGAAATTCCCTCAAGAATACCTGCACATCAGCCTTTTCAGCCTTCAATTTATTCCACTGGTGCTCCCAAATAACATATACATTGAGGTTGTACAGTATGTGTTTTTAAGGGCAAAGATTTTGTCCTGAAACTGCTGATGCATGTCCACAAAACACAGTTTTGTTACAGGATTCACTTCGTGTGAATCAACGCATTCTGGGCAACCATGAAAAAAACACCCCGCAAATTCGTACGCCGTACGAACCCCACCGGTTTCGGTATAGCCATCGAGGAAGTACGGTCCCATTTTCACCTCCCCTCTACACAGCGAGTGCTGAATCTCTGTTCGCG